TCGACTGTACACGCATGTCAGTATAATGGGTTAATAGTATGTTTTTATTTTCATACGATGAAAATCTTTATGCGTAATTAAAGCATCTATATTTAGGTATAGAGACGGTCATAAACTTGTTTATAAAGTGGGGTTCATGGGTGTCCAATGAGGCATTTGGCTTTAATTGCGGTGACCCTTTTGAAATGCTCTAACTGGGGATCAACGCGATATGGTATACCCACCACCGGGGGGATGCCACGGCGCTAGGAGTGGGGGGTTTACCACCCACTCCATGCGACCGTGGCAGTTTAAAAACTGCCACGGCGCTAGCACAGTGGCGCTGTGCCTCTGGCGCAGCGACACGGTGCATGCGACCGTGTTTTTGTCTTTAGACAAAAACCACGGCGCTAGCACAGTGACCCGCTCTGCGGGGCACGGTGCATGCGACCGTGTCAGTTTAAAAAACTGCCACGGCGCTAGTCGCTGGCTTTAGTAAAAGCCAGCGGAATGCGACCGTGTCAGTTTAAAAAACTGCCACGGCGCTAGTCGCTGGCCATCCCCCCGGTGGCCGCTGTAATCGACTGTACACGCATGTCAGTATAACGGGTTAGTAGTATGGTTTTTCATACCAGTGCAACCAACAGATGCTAGGGGGGTAGTGCCGGGTGGCTCCCGCCACCTCCTCCGGACCCTCGGCTACGCCGACTTGCTCCCGGCCCCGTCTTCTTATAAAGAAGACGGGGCGGGGAGCTACCCTAGAAATACGAATTACGATTTTTTAACTAACTTGAATTGATTTAATTTGAATATGTGTTCCTGTAACCTGAGGGTTACTGGAACACACCCAACAAATATAACATTGATGAAAGGCTTCTTCATATGGGGTTACCCCCCCCACATATAACCTATCATACAGCTCATACGCTTTAGCTAAATGGTAAAGCGATTGATAGACTGTGACACACTGTGTATAAATATTTGGGTCTAAAAGCCCAATCTTATATGCAGTGGTATATCGATAGATCAGGGTTCGAATCCTTGGGTCTTCAATTTATGAAGCGTGGTAACTATCGATATAGGTATTGCATTAGCCTTAAGAGAAATCCTATGATTTATAGAGATTTAGCTTAATGGTTAAGCGCTTGACTGTTAATCAAGCTTGATTATTAATGGTAATCATTATCTAGGTTCGAATCCTATAATCTCTAATATAATTATAATATTGTTGATTTAATCTATAATGAAGAGAATTTTCTCTTACTATGCTCAAAAGCACACTTGTGGTGTCGTAAATCTTTACTGTTGATTTTAATAGATTTCTTCTAGCCCCCCCCTTCCCCCTTACGGGGAGGGGAGAGTGTTGTCGCTTCCCCCTACGGGGAGGGGTTCGTCCCCTCGGGACTAGCATCGACTACCATATTATAATATAATATAGTTGTGAATTTTATATATAAATATATATAAATCGGCTCCCCCCCCCCATTCGGGGAGGGTGGGCCGATGGGCCGACCCCCACCGGCGTACGCAGAAATGTTGGTGAAGTGGGTTATTACACTTCTTCATTAGGACATTGAGAGTTTATTGATGGAGTATTACATGGGGGTAGTAGAGGACCTCCTGGCGGATGATCACTGCGGTTTTTTTTTGCTGGCAGACGTAGTTTGCCTCCAGCAAAAAAAAATTGATCCACAATCTCATTTTGATCGATAATTAAGGATTGGTTATAATATTGAGATCGACTCCCCCAGGGGGGCCGGCGGACTTGGTCGCCCTCCGGTAGCTCCCCCCCTTCAAAGAAGGGGGGGAGCAACAGAAGCCATATAGTCCGTTAAGTAGCAGTTTAACAATATATCTTTCTCCACCAGCAGCTTCAGATTTTAGTTTATAGAAATGTTCTACATACTCAGTGAATAAATCAGAACTAGCAAATAGATATCCCTTTTCACATTCAACCGAATAACCAAGTGAAGTTAGTACTCGTTACTCTTCAGAATAATATAACCCTTTAAATGTTCCTGTAGGAAATGTCAAAATACCATCTTTAGAAGCAACAATCGTCGCTAATTCCGAAACTAGTGCTTTATTAGAATCCAGAGCAGATCCAACTAGTCTAGCTGTTTCTTTATTAGATTCAACAACAGCGCTGACTACAGATTTATTGGAATCCATAATGGCACCAAGAAGGGGTGAAATAATAGTGCTAAAAGCTTCTACAACCGCCTTAAAATCCCCAACTTCTTTACTGCGGCCCCGGGCCAGCGACTAGCGCTGTGGCGCTGCGCCTCTGGCGCAGCGACACGGTCGCATTCCGCTGGCTTTAGTAAAAGCCAGCGACTAGCGCCGTGGCCGGGCTTTAACAAAAGCCCGGACACGGTCGCATGTAGCTGGCTTTAGTAAAAGCCAGCGACTAGCGCCGTGGTTTTTCTAAAAGAAAAAACACGGTCGCATGGAGCGAGCCCCGCTGGGTCTCACTCCTAGCGCCGTGGCCCGGCTTTAACAAAAGCCGGGACACGGTCGCATGGAGCGAGGGGCCTGCTTTAAGGCAGGCCGCTCACTCCTAGCGCCGTGGCCGGGGCCGGTCCCCTCGATTGAGAAGACGCTTTAATTTCTGATCTCATTTCCGATCTAATTGAAGAAAGTTCAGATTGGACATCCGCTCGTACATTTTGGATTTCAACAGCAAGTACTTTTCGAATTTCAACATGGGAAGCGGATACATTGCCTTTCAATTATGAAATTTCAGATCGAATTTCAGATAAAATTTCAGTCTGTTTCATTTGAATTTCAGCAAGTTTGTTTAGGGCGGCCCCGGGCCAGCGACTAGCGCTGTGGCGCTGCGCCTCTGGCGCAGCGACACGGTCGCATGTAGCTGGCTTTAGTAAAAGCCAGCGACTAGCGCCGTGGCCGGGGCCGGTCCCCTAAAATCGATTCACCGGGAGTTCCACTAGATGGTGCTCCGGGAGTCCCACTAGAATGATTTTCTGAAGTACCAACGAGTGACACACCCGCAGGAGTTAAAGTACCAACAGCAGGTTTAGCCATTGAAATAGGTGTGGAAGTAGAATAACCAGAAATATCAATAATATCACTAAGTCCCTCAAAGTGCTCTACATTGTGATCTACATTGTAATCCACATCGTGATCAAAATCAGTGTTCTTAGCGATATACTCTGAAGTTGAACTACTTGGAGTAGTTAGAATAAATAGGAATACTCCATAATCGCTACTCAATTACAGTTTAATTTAGTCATAATGTATTCTCAACGATAGTAATCCATTACAGTTTCACTCATTAATCTATACTTTATACTTTATTCCAACAATTCAATATAGTTAATATAAGATCTGTATAACTCAATTAGACTAAATAAACCATTATAATAGAATTTTCTAATCCCACGCCCTCCCGGGAGGGACGGCGCTATTACAATTTTTTATAAATAAAAAATTAGAAACCGCGCTAGGTTGTTTGTTTAAACAAACAAACAACCATGCGCCCGTGTCGCTGCGCCAGAGGCGTAGCGCCACAGCGCTAGTCCCAAGGGGCGGTGAAAGCTTCGACTTAGTCGAAGCTTTCGCCGACTCACCCCTCCCCGTAGGGTCTCAGGGACGAGCGCCGCTCTGCGGGGCTAGACGCTTTTATTGCTTAAGCAATAATTGCGTTCAGCATCTTGTATAAATACAAGACGCTAGTCCCAAGGGGGACTCACCCCCGACGGGACAAGCCCCTCGGGGGCTAGACGCTTGCCCCCCGGGAGTTAGATCAAACTTAGTTGAGAAGAGTATCAAAGGTGTTACACAGAGACTCTCATTAACGCTGAGATATCTGCTGACTCCACTGATGTTAAACGACAGCTTCGTCGGTTTACTATTGTGATGGTCAAAGACTCACCTATTTACTCAAACAGGGATGTTTGACTGCGACATCCCTTAAGATTACATATCGTTGCTGGATTGAACATGGAATGGAATCGAACCACACTGATATTTTCATACCTACCGAGATTATCATGTCCTTACTTATACTTTACTTAAATTCTATTCATAAGCGGGTATAACCAAATTCGAATCGATATTCCTAATTTGACTTAATTATTACCTACGGTCCCCGCCGCAAGCGTCTAGCGCCGTGGGCGGGGCCGCCCGGTGGGGTTAAGTTATACACCCACAAAGCACATCACTTTACTTATATATCGAATATTTAAGCGGATCAGTTTGAAAATGAGGGGGGAGGGTAGACTATAATTACCCTAGTTTAGAGATTAAAGTCCGAGCAAATTGTAGTTGAACAAATAGTGGTAAGAAATATTTAGATAATACAAAAATTAGAATAAATAGAAATAGGAATCCATAAGATACCTGGTTAAGGAAATAAAAAGGAACTAATTGAGGCATATTAATCAAAGAATATTTCTAGGTTAAAGAATTATAATGATTCCCCTCTATTCCCCAAATAGGAATTGGTAGAATGAGAAGCATAACACAACCTACATTGAAAGAAAGATTTAACACATTTACGACTAAGGTTAAATTCTTACCTCCCAAGGAAGAGGAATCAAACGACCCAAGGACCTTCGGAGAATCCTGGGACCATAGGAGAACCCTGGGCTACTTATAATAATATATTAACACAGTAACTATAACGTGGCAATCTTATACTTTGCCCCGGCCGGGCTAGCCTAGCTGGTTTTTCTAAAAGAAAAACCAGGTTGGCAAATTGGTTGCCCCCCCCCCTTTAGGGGGGGGGGCTAACCGGCGGACTTGGTCGCCCTCCGGTCGTTTTTCCCCCCTCCGCTCCTGGGTAAGCTTACCCAGGAGCCGATGGGGAGACAAACCCCCGGGGTATTTTTGAATAAATTAGCCTAGCTGAGCTTTTTCAAAGCTCAGCTTGGTGAACACAGCAAAGCTGTGTTAGCCTAGCGCCTTCCGGCCGGGGGGTCCCCCGATAAAAGACCATATTCATTGATTTGTAAACGTACCCCCAGGGGGGTGCCACGGCGCTCTTTTTTTTTTTGCGGCAAGCGACGAGCGCCGTCTTGCAAAAAAAAAACGCTGGCCACCCTCCCCCCTTTGGGGGGCTGGGGAAAAGCCGTGATTAACACCAAATAATTATACAAAGAGAGTGGTTAGGAGTATTATATTAGCCAAGGGAGATACAGGTAGTGTCCTCCTAATATAATATAAGTAAAGGGAATCGAATCAACAGGCAGACATAGGATCAAGCGTGGATTAGAGCGTAAGTGGATGGGGTGCTTCAGTGGTCCACGCAACAAGGGGAAATTGAAAACCCCCCTTGTTGTGGTGCCCCCCCCGAGTACTATTATTTCACCCCTTCTGTCCCCCAGGCCCCCTGGGGGGGCAGGTCAAAAGACCAGGGGTCCGGAGGAGGTGGCGGGAGCCACCCGTCGATCGAATTTCCATGCATTCGGAGGGCGCTAGACTACTTGAGGTTCACCCCTTCTATACCCCTTAAGTCCAAGGTCTCGCTAGCCGGGGGGCGCCGAGAAGGTTTGTGCTAAGTAACTAGGGGCGCCCGCCCTGAGTAGCCAACATACGAAAGTTCCTATTGTCTTTTTTATATAAGTAACGAGAGTTACGGAACTTAGGTTACATTATAATCAACCCGATCCGATCGGGCTTTAGGTTACTCTATAATCTACTGGGTTCAAATCCTGCTTTACCGTTATATCCAGCAACGATATGTAATGAAAGAACGGTAAAGTGATCATCGGGACAATCCCGAGGAGAGCGAGAATCCAGGTGGGGAATTATTTCCTATTTTTAGACCCGCCAAAACCCAATTTTGAGTATCCTCCTCGAGAATCTAAGAACTGGGTACATGTGTAATCGGTGGCAGGCTTTCGCACACCCTGGCCACCAGACCTCCCTAAGGTAAAGAATCCTTAAGCAAGATTCTAGCCCCCCCCTTCCCCCTTACGGGGAGGGGAGAGTGTTGTCGCTTCGTCCCGTCGTCCTGGTCCTGTTGTCCTGGTCCGATTCCTCTACGAGGAATGGGACCAGGACCAGGACAACAGGACCACGGGACCAGGGGTGAGTCCCCTCGGGACTAGCTTTTAACTTCGCTATATGCAAGGCAGTCGTACCAACCCGATTAACGGGAGGTGAATGGGGGAGTACCAAGAAAGGGAATGACAAGTTGCCGCGGGAAACGACACAATCGGTTCCCCAACGACCACATGCGAAGGAG